ATCATATATATTTCCATCAAGAGCCTGTATGAGGGAAAGAATTTGAGAAAATTAAGAAAGAAATTAAGAAAAGCACTGTGTGCTTTTGTATATGATTTATTAATATTCATGTTTAGATTTGTAAGATGCTCATATAATTTCTTTTAACACCTATTCACCTATAATTATTAGCCTGGATAGTGACAGGTGGACATCTTTCATTTTTGACAAGGAGGAATGGCAGTGCTTTATTTCCATTAGATGGCACCACAGAGCACCGTAACAATATCACGTTATAATAAATGATTTCCATCCAGTTGTGTAATACGGCCATAGCAGAACAGTGAGGTCAGGTTTGGATAAGCGAATACGCTCAGGGAGATGTCATTTATGTCAAGAAAGGGACGTAGTAACTGCAAGGATACGGGGCTTCTACCAGCCAAAGACTCTTCAAGTCACTCTACCGCACTCCAGATGACATTACCAAGACACTCAACAGCTGTATGCTTCAGATACCCAGCTATTTGCTTACTAAAAACTGCTGATCAATAGCTACCACTTCACATAAGCACAACAAACCTCTTCTGTGCACAGAAATACCAAATGCGTAACAAAAATGTATCAGAAACTTAGTAGTTACCAGAGGACGACATCAAAGTTCAAACTCAAAAGCCCTGAGCCGTAAAATCACCTCGCGTGGCCTAGGTTACACATAGGTTTAATGCAAGTTCTGTATTAAGCGTGTATGACTCTGCAAGTGACTGACAATTTCATTTAAATATTTGACTGGATATATTTAAATATATATTATATATAATATATATTTATATACTGTATTTAAATATACCAAATTTCACAGATATCCATTTAAATAGTATATCCATTGAAATAGCGTATACCAGATTTCAACAGATTCAAGACTGCATCTCTATATAAAATTGCATTTGATTATTTAAATCATTTTGAAGAGTCGGGGGGGAAAAAAGGTGAAATTGTGCAAGCCTTAAGAAACAGCTTCTGCCCCAGCAAAATCAAGCCCAACATTTAAGACGAGGCTAACAGACACATGTAAAGCAGACACAAATCACGCAGAACTGACGACGAACAGCAGAAGAGATTTTCCTTCTGCAAAACAGTTTCACCCACCATCAGCACACAGCTACAGCAACCACCAGGTGAAATTAAAACAACATACAGACATCCTTAGTGAAGGATGCTTTGAGGAAAATAGTAAACTTGTGCGACTGGAATTCTCGTGTCCAAAATTTGATATCCCAAATCCACTTTATACTACACTGTTTTCTTCATCTTCCACCTACCACGTGTAAAGTATTTCCTAGCACAGGCTGATTTTCTCCTTCAACCGTAGACATTAAACCTGCCTCAAACTTGTTAGTGCAGAAACTACGGCCATCAGAAAACAGACAGACAGGCCGCCATGCCAAACCAGCAGCAAACACGGGAATGTCTTTCAAGCCACCACAATGTAGCCGGCTCACTCAGCCATGCTGCCAGCCACCCGTATCAAAGGCCGGTCTCGAGGGGTCAGCAGCCAGGGCAGCTACTTGAGGCCCCCAGCCACGGGGAAGGCTCTGTTAAGCGAAGGAAGACGCACCGTATGGCTGGGGAAGAGCTGTAGGTTAACTTCTGCAGGCTCTTACAAGTGATGTCAGCTCTACCAAATACGCTGTTAAGCATCGTTTTTTAAAAAAATTCTTATTAAAATAATTACGTAGTATGAGCTTATGGCTGGGATGTTCATACGACAAAGATGTCAGGAGAGTCCCAACTGCAAATCCATAAAAACCTACAGCGATACACATACGCAGCTTCGGTTCTTGTCTCCCTTGGTATAGGCACAGCTTTACTGGAATTCATCTTGCAACGCACATTTAGTTCGTGAGGCGTAGTCCTAGGTTAGCATGAGGACTTCAACACCTCGTGGGCTTTTATAACGCTAAAGGGATGAGTCCTCAGTATCACAGTTATATGAGCACCGAAGTTAGCATCCCATTTCAAGGGCATTTATTTTCACGTCAAATACGTTCAGTCCCAATAGCAGGTCTGTCTTGCACTTTCAGAGAATACAAATCATGTATAAAATTGCCAAGACCGGTTGTGCTCTCAGGAGAACTGCTGCACGACGACGGCGACCCTGAAACTGCCCCAAAACCGGAACTTGCAGACTTTTATGATCGAGCATATCTGTTCCTAAAGCTTTTCAGATCCAACACCGAGCTGGAGCACAACTCTGCTAATAAATGTAAATAAACAGTTTAAACCTGGCAAAGCAATTGTAAATGCTCAGTTTGCAAAGCAGCTCTGGTTTTTTTATTCCAGTATGCTATAAACGAGTATTTCAGAGCTTGATCCCCCTGCCTTCCCATCAAGCCCTTATGTTCTTTTTATGTTAAACCCAGCAGGAGGGGTTCATGCCATTTAACTTCAGACTTCTACAGTGCAGACATCTATGTTGGAGTTTGTCACTCTAGATCCTTTTTAGAGTCAATGGAGGGAAGTTGGTACTTCTGTGGTGTGATTCATTTCCCTCTAAGATAGATGGCCAAAACAGGTCAGATGAGACACAGCATGCTAAGTGCCTATTCCTCTTCACTGACCGTAAATAGCGCCCAGACAATTAGCTTAGATATACACGTCTACGCAGTGGTGATATAAAGCTGAGTGAGACGAAGCCCATCTCAACATGTGTCAATTCCCTGCAACCATTATCTACCGAGCATTAGGAATTAATTCATCTACAGCTGTATTCTGTAGTTCTAGGAATATAAAAAGATATTTAAATACTAACTTCATTTTTTCCTCGCTCCTCTTGCAATGACCACAGCTCTGAAGTTTTGTGCTGAGATGCCAGAATACCCGCCCCCCCCAGTGGGACATAGAGATATATAAGAAAAATATATAAGAAAGAACATCAAAGAAAAGCGTGGCAAAACATTAGGAAGCATACAAATCTGTCAGCATGTGAAAACTGCATTACAGCCTTTCTCCTTTCATTAATTAAAAGCGGTTTCAATACGATGAAGTCCTTAAATACCGATGACAGCTGCCAGAATTGAAGTTATTAAAGTCAGCGCAATACAACACAGGCACATTTGTCAGCCAAGTAAACCCACAGCTAAGCGCGCAGCTCCAACACATGCTAAAAAACTCATCGTTGCGCAGAAAAAGTGACATCCCATCAGTTACAGGATTAGAGAGCTGGTTGGTTACAGACTGCTTTCAAAGATAATGTATCTATTCATTCTACAAAATGGAAATTATTAGATCAAGCTGGATATGTTAATATTAAAACAAAAGTTTTGACTTGCTGAACTATATGAAATAAATTAACATTCATGTAGGATTTTATAATACCTAATCTGAATCTCATTTACTTACAAACCCTCTGACCTGAACCATTGAACATCCCAATTTAGGTTTGAAATAAAAAGTCTTTTCAAAATTTCTGATCACACAATTTGAAGAGGAAACTGGTGGGAAAAAAAATAATTAAAAAAAACCCAACACACATTATTTCACTACAATGGCTTTTGTTCTCTTTCTGAATCTCAAAAGATTACTAAATCACTTACTGTATTACAATCAGATGAAAAACCTGTCTTTTTCCAACCTCAAAAGGAAATCAAGGGGGGTTTTTTGTTTTTTTTTTTTTAACAAATCTGGCATCAGAACTAAGATAATATCAAGTTAAGTGCCACAGAATTACCATTTCAAGGATAGAAAGAAGTCAATGTTTTTAAAGAGATGACTTCTTTACAGTGAAACTGTCACGCTAAAGGTAAAAAACTACTTCCCCGCCTGAGTCCAAGCTTTAGCAGATAGTGGCTGAAATTAGGACTGACAAAAATTGAAACTGTTAACAAAGGCAATGGATACACAACCAAATTAAAGTGTATTTTTATAAGAAAACCTATATGTTAATTCAAATCAATAAAATGACATATGGGGGGACAACATTTTCCTGATTTCAACATAAAGTTTCAAGTATAACACAACATAGTTTTCCTAGGAACAAAATTTCAGTCCCAATTTAGATCACCATTCTGAGGAGGTTTTTCTGCTTTTAATTCAAGAGATCATATTAAACATTTTAGGAACTCATATGCACTGGCTTTAATCATTCTACATTCTATAAAGATTTCCTCAAAAGCAAAGATGTAAATAAAGCTATTTTAGGTATTGTTAGTACATTTGGGTGCCTTTGGGACGTTGTTCTTAACCTAAGATGATAATGCATGATGTAGAAAAGACGCCGTGTTGAACGTATCATGTTCATTCGTGTAACTTACTTCGAGGTCTCTTCACTAGAACATTTACAGGTCTCGGTCACATTCCATTTCCAAATGACCATTTTAATTTCTTGGAGAAGATGGAGAGCAAGGTAAACTTCTATGCTTTTTTTATTTTAAAAGACTCATTCCTTCTCAAATCCCAAAGGAAAAATGGAAATTATCTGACCCATGCAAAATGCAGACCAGAGTCATGGAAAGGGACCAAGGGCAGGTCTTCCATTTATCTCATTTATTTCTGAAATATTCCTGTTATTCTATTTGTGTTTGTCTTGCACAGAAACTGCTAAGCCGTGCTGAAGCTTTGCATAATATTTTTACAGAGTCATGGAGAGGGACCAAGGGCAGGTCTTCCTTTTGTTTCCAAAATAAATTTGTCTCATTTATTTCTGAAATATTCCTGTTATTCTATTCGTGTTTGTCTTGCACAGAAACTGCTAAGCCGTGCTGAAGCTTTGCATAATATTTTTACAGTTTAAACTCAGGTGTTCAAATTAAACCTCTCATTTAGCGACCTGAATCCACCAGGCACCAAAACCTGAACCTTACAGTACTAAGTTAAAAAAACACAAGGAAGACCACACTTGTAAAGCCACGTGGGTTTCACTGACTAATTTACACTAGTCTCATCTGAATCATCACTGCCAATAAATAATTTT